TATCAAGGGGATCAATTTCACCCAGGGCAGTAAAAACAAGGGGCCTCCCATTTAAGATAGAAATGAAAGCTTTTTTTCTCATGAGGTCATGAGACTTTGGAACTACCTCCCTTGAAAGACAGTAAAAACAGAATTTCTGAATATTTTTAAGGCAGTGGAATATAGATTCCTGATAAATGAAAGGAATGAAAAGTTACCAGTGGGCTAAGTGGGAATGTGGAGTAATCAGATCAGCCATTAATGTATTGAATGGTGGAACAGGCTTAAGGGCATGAATGGCCTCCTCCTGCTCATAATTTGCATGCTTCTGTTTTGAAGTTGTTACTAAAGAGGTCTATCAATGGGGAATTGTTGGTGGGTTCAAGAAACAATTAAATGAAGAGGAAATAATTTGGGCAAAGGCATTTTAAGAGGTTAGAGGTTCCATCACATGTTCTCCATTCTATCCTCTCACGCTCGCCATTGGCGGTACAACACATTCATCTTCTCATATCCATTGGCAAGCAAACAGATTCTTTATTACCTGATTGGATGATTTTTAATGGACAATCAGATTGTTTTTCTGTCCTCTTCTCAGATTTTGGTCGTGGGCATATTTTTTTTTCTCCACAGCTTTGTTCACAGCAGAGATAAATCCTTAACTTCAAGAGGAGCCAGGAGGGTTGGTAACCTGCACAGAGATGGGTATGGGGAGATGGTGGGTAAGTGAGGTTCAGGGTTATCAGATGTGGAGTCCTATAGCATCACCTTCCTCAAAGATATGGAGGTGCCGGTGTTGGATTGGGGTGGACATAGTCAGCAGTCACGCCACACCAGGTTACAGTCCAACAGGTTTATTTGAAATCATAAATTTTTAGAGCGCTGCTTCTTCATCAGGTGACAAAGGAGCAGTGCTATGAAAGCTTGTGATTTCAAATAAACCTGATGGACTATAACCTGGTGTGGCGTGACTGCTGACCTTCTTTCAAAACCCAGCAAGGCAAGAACGTACTGCTCTTTCAAGAACAGATCCCACTATCTCAGAGTGTCCTAATCATTACAGACAATGATGTTCTTTTGAAGTGTATTCACTGTTGTAATGGGGAAGCATGACAATTTGACCCTAACTAAATCTCACCAAACAGCAAACGACCAGATGCTTTCAGTGACATCGGTTGAACTATAAAGTGAAAGAACACTCCTGCTCTTTTATACCTGTCTGTTGGATCAGGCTTAAGATAGCACCTCTGACAGTCTAATGCACACTCACTCCCCCACCCCCAACCTCAGTATTGCACTGGGAGTATTGGCCTGGAATTCTTCGCTCACACCTTTGAAGTGGGGCTTAATTTACACTCTTGGAAGCGGGATCTCACCCACTGCGCAACTACTGAGATTGATGCAGAAACAGTTTAAAATAGCATAAAGACAGAATTGAGTATAAGGGAGAATGAACAGTGCAGTGTTAGACCCTAGTGAGTAATATCAAACTGATCATTGAAATGCCTTGCCTGAAACTATTCTTCAAACATTTGTGGATCATGCCTGGATCACCTTGATGTTTGAGGGAAACTGGGAGGACGAAACCACTGACAACTGCCTTGTAAAGTTTGCTGGTTTCATCACAAATAAAAGGGATTTCCCACCTTTCACCAGCCTTGGTACAATTGAGATTCACAGCATGATTCCAAGGAAACAGAAAGAAACAGATATCTCAATCGCACTACAACCACAAGGTGCAGCGGTCAGAACAGAGTTTTAAATACAATATAATCCATTGAACTTAGTTTTTAGCAAAATCTCATTATCATAGTCCTTTTTGAATAGAAACATTTTGCATCATTCTGTGCAGGATTTGCATTCACGTATTATTGTCAGCTCTCTCAGACAAGGAAAGGCATTACAGCTCAAAAGCAGAAGCACTTGCATTTTCAGCAGATGAAAAAATAATAATATAATCACACCTTCCATTTCTTTACACAATTTATCTGAACAGTATCAACACACAAGGGGATCAAAATCTACCCATAGGTGAACAGCAAACACACCACCACTTTTACCTCCATGACACCTAGTAGGAATAAATTACTGCAGATGCTAGAATCGGTACCGAAAATGAAAGATGCTGGAGATCACAGAAGGTCAAGCAGCATCCATGGAGAGAAAGCAAGCTAATGTTGAGTCTAAATGACCCTTCGTTAGATCTGAGATGAAGCTCCAATGATGAGTCATCTAGACACAAAACTATAGCTTGCTTTCTCTGTATGGATGCTACCTGACCCACTGTGATCTCCAGCACTTTTTGTTTTCAGCCTCCATTACACCTGCTTTGCTGGCAGAGGGGAGGAGAAAGTGGAAACTTTTCTCTCCAAAAAGTTCAGCCCTAGAAATTGAATATTTTCACAAATGGCCCAGCACAGTCAGAGAGTGCAACTCTCTCGTCTCTACCCCTAACTTGGGGAGGCAGTGGCATATTGATTATGTCATTGGACTAGAAACACAGAGCCCCAGACCATTGATCTGGAATTATGGGTTCAAAACCCAGCATGGCAAATGGTAAAATTTGAATTCAACAGAATGAAGAACTGGCCTAGTGTTGAACATGATTGTCATTAAAACCCAAACGGTTCTGTCATGTTCTTCAGAAAATGAAATCTACCTTACCTAGGCCTGTAGTCTAGGTGCACAACGATGTTGTTGACTCTTAGCTGCCCTCTGGACAAGTTGGGATGGGTAATGAATTCTAATCTAGCCAGTGATACCCGCACCCTGTGAATGAGTTAAAATTAACTTGCCAATAGTGTTTTCTACTACACTAACAGTTGTTTGCAATGGTGGAAAAGGATTTTCCCTGATACCCTTAAGGAACTCAGAGAATTCCAATGCTGTAATCCTGTAAAACCTGACAGTGGATTTGTACACAGAAAGATAATAGATCAGTTGAGCTTTTCTTTTTTTTCATTAAAATATTATATTTGGTTGAGGGATAAAAATTTGCCAGGCCATCTCAGAAACACTTCTCCCATGTCCTTCTTCAACATAGTATAATGGGATCTTTGATTAACAGCCAATAGGACAATTGGGATCATCCAGAAGCTATAGACCCATGTTATATAATGTCACACACACTTGGTGCTGTTGACACTAGAGTTCCTTGCAAATAAATTCCTCATAGTCACTGCACAGGATTGGAGTATAAATATAGGGAAGTCTTATTATAATTGTAAAATGTGCTGGTGAGACTACACCTAGAGTACAGTGAGAAGTTTTGGTCCCTTTATTTAAGGAAAAATATTATTTAATTGGAGGCAGTTCAGAGATATTGACTGGGATGATCTCTGATATGGATGGATTGTCTTATAAGCAAAGGCTAAGCAGGTTGGGACTCTACTCACTGGAGTTTAGAAGAATGAGAGGTAATCTCATTGAAACATATAGGATTCTTAAGGGGCTTGACGGGATAAATGCTGAGAGGATGTTTCCCCTCATGAGAGTGTCTAGGACTGGAGGGTCTTAGAATAAATTTAAGACTGAGATGAGGATAAATTTCTTCTCTCAGAGGGTTGTGAGTCTTTGGAAGTCCTTTCCACAGAGAGCTGTGGGGGCAAAATCGTTGTGTATATGTAAGGGTGAGATAAATTCTAGATCAGTCGGGGAATTGAGGGTTACGGGGAAAGGGTAGGAAAGTTAGGAATGTTAGATCAGCCATGATCCTATTGAACAGTGAAGCAGGCTTGAGGAGCCAAATGGACTGCTCCTGTTTCTATTTTTTATGGTCTTTGTGTTGACTTTAGCTTATAAATATCCTGTCCCAGCTTTTTATATTCATATTTTTAATAGCATAGAAATGTAAGTGGGCACAAATCCTTTTGAGTTTAAATCTTTCACTATTTTGAACTGTACTCGGGACAACAAGCAACATGAGGGGGCTTTAACTTCCTCTTTCTTTCAATTTATCACATGACCTGACATGTTCTCATGGTCAATAAATTGCAAAGTTATACTGCAGACAACAAGCTCTCCCATTGCTATTACTGTAGTGCTCTCCCACAATGTTGTTGATCAAGGAAAGTTTTGCTATTAAAATTCATTCTCAGGTAAGGAAATGAAGCAGTTTAGATGCAGAACTACCTCTACCTTAGTAATGGGACATAACCCTCAGAGCAAGCTTAACAAATCAGTGTGACATTTCTTTTACACCACACCAGCAGTCCTTGAAATTCCTGCACATATGATTGCCCAGTTGTACGCTGTAGGCCAAATAGGAAATAGGTTTCTACTGCCTTAAATCCATTTTTGAGTTAGACAAACGGCCAGGAGAATTGACTTGTTTTCTAGGTTAAGTCAGTTTACAACCGTGGGTCACAAAAGGTAAAAAGATAGTGTTCTATCCAACTATAACATCCAGACACAGGTAAGAATAGTTAACTACACAATCCACATCCCTGGAAGTTTTTGCTGTATATATTGCGCTGCAGCCTAACTCTCCTGGTCTCAATCACCAGAAACATTAGCGCATGAGCCAAAAGGGGCTAAACTCAATGCAAAATTAGCAGCAAACAAACTGAGGGGCTTCAGTAAAGTGAGAGATCAAGTGGGCTGGGATTGATCCCCTCAGAGTAGTGAAGGAGATTCAATAAAGCCATCTGTGGGTAAGAAGGTTTTGTCAAAACAGATGGGAAGAAATTGTTTCCATTGGGAGAAGATTCAGTAACCAGAAGATACGGGTTTTGGATAATTGACGGAGGCGTGATGAGAAGGCTTTAAAACCACACAGTAAATTATGGAAGATCTGCCTAAAATGTTAGAGTAAGCAGATTTTAGCGTTGAATGTCAAAAGGAAATTGGATATGTTTTTGAAAAGGAAAAGCTTTGGAGGCCTCTGGAGAAAGGTTGTGGGGGTGGGCGGGGGGTGTGTGGGGAAGGGTGGGCACTAACTGGATAGCTATTTCAAAGATCTGAGGAAGAGTCACCAGACCCAAAACATTAAATCTGATTTTGTCTTCTCAGATGCTGCCAGACCCGCTGAGCTTTTCCAGCAACTTTGTTTTTGTTCCTGATTTACAGCATCCGCAGTACTTTCGTTTTTTTTAGCTATTTCAAAGAGTCAGCATAGGCACAATGGACCAAATGGCCTCTTGTAATAAATGATTCTAACAAGTAAATGTGCTTTAAGGATGGATTAATGCCTCTGAGAGGCACAAAAGAGTTTCAAGTGAATGACTTAAGGTTTTCATACTAATGTCACATACTATAATTTTAACCCCTAAGTTCTCTGTCTGGCAGAGATGTAAATGTAATTCATGAGAAAACACATTACACCTTTACATTGACTATGTAGCAAACAGCACCTATATACACAATTCCACTAATCACTAGTCAACCTGAAGGTATAAAGTATCCATAACTGTAGTGTCAACATGCTCTGATCACTTAAAAGCCCACAGACAGGTTTTTAGTAAATGGAAGTTAATCCACCAAAAATAAGCCCTGTTTTATCAGTTAACTGTTCAGTAACATAGTTGTAATGATGCATGGCTCTTTACAATTTTCATATCAAAAAATATCAATAAACATGAACTTTTTAAGACTTTTCCCTTTAGATACAATTAAATAAGAATATTACTCTAGTCACCTCACAGCCTTTTCAGCTGAAATTCTGATCTCTCAAATATGTCAAAAGGAAAAAGGAATTCCAAAGTACTTTTCCTTCCTGGTTTAAGGCTAATGAAGGCCACCGACCTTTGGCAAAGAAGTTGGGAGATAGTTGATGCCTTGTCTCGCTGATGGCACAGGTTAATTGACTATTCGGAGAGATGGCATCAGTGCTTGTAGTAGACTGTTTTTGTTTCATTGTTTAAAATGAAAACTTCCAAGATGTTGGGTTACCAACTCTATTCGGATGTATTCCTGGAGGTATCATCCTTGCCTCCAATCCTCCTGCCCAGACAAACAGCCCTTTGTTAAAAAGACCAAGTCCAATAGTTTTCTATTGAATAAACAAAGCTGTTCGAAGAAAACAATTTAAAAAATACAAATTTTCTTTCGACATTCCTAATATATTCTTTCTCGCGAGCAGTGTCCAGAAGATTCAACATTAATTCCCACAGACTCCATGGCCTTCCTGGAAAGTTTTGCAAAATTTAATCGGAGGAGCAGGAAATCGGCACATGCAGGTTAGGCCTCCCAGTTATGGCGCCGCGATCAATTTCACATTCCCATTGTTACATCAAGCAGTTCCATGATCAATTTCTTGGTTCTAACCCATCCTGCTGATCTACATCTGAACAATAGCCCACAGAGAACTCAGTAATAGATGGTGACTAAGCTCTCTCCATTATGATCTGTGGGGACACAGCCAGATCATTTCTTTCCCAGTTGGTTGCTAACCACCTCACCTTGCCTTTCAGTGAGAATTTTACTCTTTTAGAAATGTCTCAAATGTAAACAAGACACAAAAGAAGTCTAATTTCTATTTAAAGCTAAACTCTTTTTCTTCTTCCTCTGATCTTCTGCAGTGGAGACTTTTGTTCAAGAATTCCAATAAATTTCCAATGTAAATAAAGCAAATAAGCACTCATCATCCTGCTCACACCCCAATAAAATTTTGGAATTGGCGCAGTGGGCAATTGTCAGTGATGAGTTTCTCATCTCTTGCCATTCTTCACCCTGCTTCTACCTGTTGTTAGCATCCAGAAACACCTCAAACTCCTTTCACATGGGATTGGGAAGTGGCTTTCTTGATCTCCTGATTGTTCTGTGCTGGAGATGTTTAGTCCAACTGGAAAACAAGAGCCCCACAGTCAGCTTAAACTAGATTAAATCATTCTTTTAGAAACAAAACGGAAGTTGCCGAACTTATTTCCATTCACTGAAAGCTATGAAAGAGCTTTGAAGTCCAGTAGCTTCAACTCCAGTGCTTTCAGACTTGCCCAATACATTTTGCTCTTGAATTCACTTGGCTCTGGTTTATGTTCGATAACCTGGATGCTGAGTTGACGTCATTCGATGTAGTTTCACTGTCAGTCAGCTCCATTAATAGTTCATTGGCGAGTGATAAACAGATACAACAGAAATGTACATCAAAAGATCTGTCCACGTCACTATAATCAGAAAGTGCCTTTGTTCTTGGAACTTGCTTTGTCAGAATTTATGACCAAATTCCAACATTGAAACTATGCTAGTTGGTATTGTCATGTCCCGATAGCATCAGCCCAGAGCTAAATTTTGGTTTGGTTGAAAATTAGGATTGAACAGAAATTTCACAATCGATGATTCTTTCTTTTAATCAGTTCTCAAACATTGCCAAAGGGCTTTCACTTAATAATTCCTTTGCGAAGTGTAGCCACATTAGCTAAAGCAGTGGATGAAGCAATTGCAGCTTCCCTCAAGTGACAATGTGCTGACTGACTCGTTAATTTATCTCTTTGTTTAGTTGCTGCTCCTTGAGGGAGGAACATTGGCCAAGGAAGAACTGGGGCCAACAAGCTTCCTTCCCCACAACATATCAAAATGATATGCCCACTTCAACCCAATTACAGCGTAACGTCCAATTTCAAAACACGGTGACAATCCCCTTAGGAACAAAAATAAGCAATGCTTTTCAGGGATAGATTAAAGGTTTGATTTGATGATAACAAGGCTTGGCCAGAAGAGTTAAGCCATTTGGGATGTGATGTTGGTGAGATGCTATGCAGCGAGGGAGGGCCAAATCGCCTACTTCTGCTCTTAATTTGTACGTTCATATGTAAGGACATTGGTCACTAAAAATGGAAAGTATTTAGTTTTGTTAGTGTGCAGTATTCTTTGCGTTGCAATGAGATTAAAACTCAGAAAACCAATTTAGCACCCAAACCATTCATGTACCATTAAAAATTTACAAAAAAAAATTTCCCTAATTTTTTAAAGCACCATTCATGTATATTACATGCAAACATCCCGGAACTCCTACCTACTCCACTAACAGCAGTTCATTAAGGCAACGCGCCATCACCCTCTCAAGGTCAGTCATAGATGGGCAACAAATGTGGGTTTAGCCAGTGATACCCACAGCCTGCAAATGAATTTTAAAAAGAAGACGAGACCCTGTAAAGGTCTACTCTAGGGGTAAAGGAACTGGTGTGACATAACCATCGTCTTGCCAAGGAACAAGTTTGGTTTTATCAGCCACCTGGAAGAATTGATATTGTGTGCACAAAGCCCAAACAAATCCCCTTTTCTTGCCAGTCAATAAATAAGATGACATCCTAATAGAAAAACAAGAAATTTCACCCATCTATTGCAAACAAAGCATTAGAAATGGATACTGAACCTCAGACAGCATCTGCTCATTTGTTAACTTTCTTGATGTTAAAAAAAATGACTTCAAACCTTCAGCAAAATTATTATCTCTTCAAGATCTGTCCATTTGTACTCAGAGCACTTAAATCCATCTCATGATCAAGTCATTCCTTGGGGGTAAAAGCAATATCATGGAACAGTAGAGCAGAAAATGAGAGAAATTATAAGGGATGAGAGATGGAGAATGGAATGCATTTGCTGGTTAAACAGGCTGAAGCTTCCCATAGAGAAGAAAAGATTATTAAGTCGGAAGTGGAGATGAAGATATGATAGAATTAGAATTGCAAGGGTAGGCATCATGAAAAGTAACAGAGCTAGTGGAATAAACAGTTTGAAGGGTTGAAATGGAGGGATAGACTCATCAAACATTGGGATGTGGAAGGCTAGGTTATCAACTGTTACCAGAAAACTGAGACGACGTTTGCTTTTCAAATCAACCAAAAGCTACAATGCAACCTGCCGTGGGTTCAGTCAACAAATATAATTCTTCAGCCCTGGCACAGCAACTTTGCCCATCAGATTTGAAGTGGCATTCACAAATTGCCACATTGATGCATTGGCATTGGACAGAAGGAGCTGAGAATGGGGTTCTACAAGTCCCATCGCATGCACAAAGCAGATCCCAGACAGGCCCTGCTTTCCTTCACAGAGGGAGAAGATCGAAATAATGGACAAGAGGCAGGTCTGTCCAAAGGAATAGGAGGAGCAGGCTGCACTAATGATAGGTAGTCTGGGTTCGGGGGTCCAGTCTCTTGAAGTCAGTTGTGCAACTGAGACTAAGGGAGCCTCAGTAATGATCACTTAATGAGGGAGCACTTTGAAAGCTGCTGTTCACATTCTACAGGTGAGTTCCAATCTGAGAAGATGGAGAGTGTGCAAGGCAGTGTGACTCAAGCTGCTTTTGGTCTTCCAGTTAGGCATAATCTCCATCCCTCATATACCAGTGAGGGCACAGAAGATAAAGGCAGCAATGCAGATCCAAAACAGAAAAGTCAACTGCGTCCCTCGAGCTCACTGTTCCAAGCTGAACAACAAGGTCTGTACAGATGCAGGAACTCCAAAATAACTGGGTAGTGCCAGAGAAAATTTGAGATATGCAAAAAGTTATCCATCCCATATCACTTGCATTGATACCGCATTAAATCTCATCACAGTTGCTCAATTAAGTAGAATCAGTAAAGTAAATGGATTCCAAATCAAAGATTAAGAGTGAAAGAAGCAACGAATGGGTCCAATTGTTGCCATCGCTATGCCAGCATACCATGTTGTTCTGGGCAAGGACCTACAATCACAGCTGCCAGCTGAGGTCTCAAGGACCTGATCGCCAATGTTACACGCGTTGGCATCATCACCAGTGGTCATCTTTGTCTCTCACAGAGGAGCTCCCTTTGTAGCCCTGTTGAATAGGCATGACTTTTTGACATGTCAGATTCCTTGTTAGGCCTTCTGAAGGTCTGGTGACAAGGAGGCTGGAGTTGATGAGCCATCCACACTCGACAATGGGATCTGCATGTGACTGTTGGCAATGTTTGGAAACTGCAAGAAACAAAAGCAGATTGTTAAAAGAAAATCATATATATCTTGCTACAATATTTTGCATCATCAACTGGAACTTACATTTATTTAGCCACTTGAACACAATAAAACATCTCTATGTTGGAACAACATTTGACACTGATCCACATGACTTTTAAAAAAATTTACTCATGTAACATAGGCCTCGCTGGCTGGATCAGCATTTATTGCTTGTCCCTAGTTGCTCTTGAGAAAGTGGTGGGGACCTGACTTATTGAACCGCTGCAGTCCATGTGCTGTAGATAAACCCATAATGCTGTTAGGGACAGAATTCCAGGATTCTGATCCAGTGACAGTGAAGGAACGGTGATATATTTCCAAGTCAGGATGGCGAGTAGCTTGGAGGGGAACTTGTAGGTGGTGGTGTTCCCATGTGTCTGCTATCATTCTAGATGGTACTGGTTGTCGGTTTGGAAGGTGTTGTCTTAGGAGCCTTGGTGAAGTTCTGAAGTATATTTTTTTTAAGATGGTACATAATGCTGTTACTGAATGTCAGTGGTGGAGGGAGCGGATGCTTGTGGATTTGGTGCCAATTAAGCGGGCTGCTTTGTCCTGGATGGTGTCAAGCTTCTTGAGTGTTGTTGGGGCTGCACTCATCCAGGCAAGTGGGGAGTATTCCATCACACTCCTGACTTGTGCCTTGTAGATGGTAGGCAGGCTTTGGGGAGTCAGGAGGTCAGTTACTGGATCTCTAGCCTCTGACCTGCTCTTGTAGCCATTGTACTTTTATGACTGCATCCGTCAGTTTCTGGTCAATGGCAACACCAGGATGTTGTTAATGAGGGATTCACTGATGGTAACACCATTGCATGTCAAGGGCAATGGTTATATTGACTCCTTTGAAGATGGTCACTGCCTGGCATTTGTTTGGCACAAATGTTACTTGCCAATTTTCAGCCGAAGCCTGGATTTTGTCCAAGTCTTGCTGTATGTGGGCATGGACCGCTTCATATGGAAACTGTCTTTATATCAAACATTACTGAGAGTTAAAAGATCCCAGTGGATTGCTGAGAAATGGAAGGCGATAACCTTTATAACTTCGAATAATGGACTCCAGAAGGGCTGATAGGGTTGATGACTCACCTGGCAACGCGGTATTCCCTCAGCACTGCAAGACATAAAGTCAGTATCCAGACTGACACTGCAGTGCCATTTGGAGGAAGTTTTATTTTTATTCATTTTCAGGATGAAGGCATCACTGGCTGAGTTAGCATGCATTACCCTTCCCCGATTGGCCTTGAGAATGTGGTGGCAATGAGCCATTTATTGAATGCAACATTTCAAACAGCAATTCCAAGTCAAACAGTCTGACATGGATTCTAGTTGCCAGGGTTTTAAATATATTAATTCCATTGATGGGAGATGATGTTACAGTGACACAAACAATGTGTAGAAAATGATCAGAGCTATAGATAGAGTGGACAGCCAGAGACTTTTTCCTAGGGTGGAGGTAGCTATTATGAAGGGGCACAGTTTTAAAGTGAGTGGAGGTAGATATAGGGGAGACGTCAGAGGTAGGTTCTCTACTCAGAGAGTGGTCGGGGAGTGGAATGCATTGCCGGAGAAGGTAGTGGAGTCGGCCTCATTAGGGCCATTTAATCGGCTATTAGATAGGCATATGGATGATAGTATGAGGTAGGGGTGGAGGTTAGATAGACCTTAGGTTTAGAGTAAAAGTTCGGCAGAACATCGTGGGCCGAAGGGCCTGTACTGTGCTGTACTGTTCTATGTTCTATGTTCTAATAGCCCAGGTTAATGCTCTGGGAAATTTAAATTCAATTAGTGAACCTGAAATTGAAAGCAAGTCTTGATGTTGTTGATCATGAAAACATCAACGATTGTTGTAAAATCCTGTCGGGTACACTAATATTCTGTAGGGAAGGAAAGGCTATGGGCCTAGTGATGGAAAATGGGACTAGTGTAGCTTTAGCGTAGTTTTGGAAGTACAGACCCAATGGGCTGAAGGGCCTCTTCTGTACTGCATGATTCTTTGAAATCTGTTGTCCTAAGCCAGTCAGGCATACCTGTGAGTTCAGACCCACAGCAACATGTTTGCCTTGTAGCTGCCCTCTGAAAAGACCATCCAAGCCATTCAGTTCAAGGGCAGTTAGGGATGTGCAACAAGTTCCAGTCTTGCCAGTGATGCCGACAACCCATGAATGAACAAAGAAAGCAAATGATCAGTCCACAGAGCTCATGACCCATACTTACCTGAAATAAAGTGCTGGTTCCAGGCATTCGGGCTGGGCTGAGTGTAGCCACTGGACTAAGGGTGCTCCAGAAATGGATGCTGGACAATAATGGACTGGGAGTCAGTAAGAATGGAGTCTAAAACAGAAGAAAGAAAGCACAAGGTTGGAATTGCCAATAATAACAGAATAAAAAGGACAAATTCACTGATATACCATGGCAGAGGTGGTCTCAGGGTGAAATCTGGAACTGTACCCCACACACACAAACACACAAAGACACACACACACACACACACACACACACAGACACAAAGACACACAGACACAAAGACACACACACACACACACACACAAAGACACACAAACACACACACACACACACACACACAGACACAAAGACACACACACACACACACACTCACAGTGCTGGGGGGATGGGTTAGTTGCAAGGCTGAGATTAGTGGATTTTTATTGAGTTTATGAGTTCTAAAGGGATATGGAGTTGGGCCAGGACTAGATCAAAACAGTTTGTTTCCATTGATTGAAGGTCTAAAATACAAGTGGATATAGACAAAAGGACATTATTATTATTGTTACAAAGCACTTACTGCACAGAAGCCCTGATGTGGAGGCGCTGGTGTTGGTCTGGGGTGGAAAAAGTCAGAAGTCACACAACACCAGATTATAGTCCAATAGGTTTATTTGAAAACACAAGCTTTTGATCACTGCTCCTTCTTCAGGTCACTTCACCTGTGATTTCACATAAACCTGTTGGACTATAACCTGGTGTTGCGTGACTTCTGACTTTGCACTGAAGCTGCCATTAGTTCAAACAACTGGCCCCACTCACTGACTCATCTCACCTGGTTAAAATGTCCTTCTATTCCTTTCGTCCATGTGTGCTTATATAGCTTCCCATTTGATTTATCAACAGTATTTGCCTCAGCTATTCCATGTGATAGCGAGTCTCAAATTTTCACAATTTTCTGGGTAAAGATATTTCTCCTCAATTGTCTAAACGATTCACTAGTGACTATAATTACTGCTTATATTGCTGCTTTTCCCAACCTCAGAGACCTTTATCGGATCACCCCTCAAGTTTCACATTTCTTGAAACAAAAAGGATCCCAGCCTGAAGAAGTTACACCAGACTTGAAGCGTTAACTTTGCTTCTCTCTCTATAGATCACAGAATCCCTACAGTGTGGAAGCAGGCCATTCGGCCCATTGAGTCCACACCGATCCTCCGAGGAGCATCCTACCCAGACCTACCCCCTACCCTATCTCTGCATTTCCCACCCTAGACACTATGGGCAGTTTAGCATGACCAATCCACCTAACCTGCACATCTTTGGACTGTGGGAGGAAACCAGAGCACCCGAAGGAAACCCACACAGGCACGGGGAGAATGTGCAAACTCCACACAGACAGTCGCCCGAGGCCAGAATTGGACCCTGGCCCTGTGAGGCAGCAGTGCTAACCACTGAGCCACTGTGCCACCGCTAGATGTTGCCAGACCTGTTGAGTTTCTCCAGCACTTTCCGTGATTGTAACAAAAAGTTAGTGTGCAAGTGTAGCATACAATCAGAAAAAGGTTAATGAAATCCTATCTTTTATGATAGTAATTAAACATAAAAGGATGCCATATTTCATTAATACAGGCCATTAGTGAGGCGACATCTCCAATACCATGTGTAGATTTGGTCTCCTTATCTAAGAAAGGGTGTAAATACACTGGAGGTGGTTCAGAGGAGGTTTATTAGATCAATGCCTGGTATGAGCAGGTTGTCTCATGTGGAAAGGTTGGACAGTCTGGGCTTAGTTCTACTAGAGTTTGGAAGAGTGAGGGGTGACTTGACTGAAATGGACATGACCCTGAATGGTCTTAACAAAGTGGATGGGGAAATAGGAATTCCTCTTGTGGGTGAGTCCAAAAAGAGGTGGACAGTTCTAAAATTAGAGGTCTCCCTTTCAGAAGATTTGTTTTTCCTCTCTGAGGGTTGTGTGACTTTGATACTCTTTGCCTGAGAAAACGGCAGAAACGGTGTCTTTGAACACTTTTAAGGCGGGGATGGATCGACTTTTGTTACACAGCGGAATCTGGAGTTATCAGGGTTAGATGGGAATGTGGAATTTGAAAACCAAACAAATCAGTCACGATCTTATTGAATGGTAGAGCGAGCAAGATGGGCCAAATGGTCTACTTCTGTATCTTGCATGATTGTGTATTAGAAAGTGCAAGGTAGAAGAGGTGAAAGCGTTTAGGAAAAAAAGCCAGAACTTCAGGCAAATAACAAATCAATCACTCAATCAATTAATAAATCACCTTGTCAGGTATCCACCCAGCCATTTAACTAATGTGTAAATGAGAATACACGATAAACTGTGTAGAAAAAGCAAGTGAAAGAAATTAGCAACACTTAAATATGGAATCAGGTGGAGTGTCATTGAGGAAATTGTCCTGTGCTGCTGTCTGTCTCTCTTCTGTGGCTAAGTGCATAGCTGGGTGTCCCCAGAGAGGAAGCAATGTTGTACTGGCTGGTATGTTTGAGGCCTCCGACAACTGATGGGATAGGACAGCGTCTCAACAGCAACAATGCTATAATTTCACTTTATAAGTTACTTCCTGTTTTACTTATAATTTAATCATTATCATATGATCCTCTATAAATGAGGACATTCTTGCATATTTCATTTTTACTGATGGTCGATCTGCAGAAGTTGTTTCCCAGACTTAGGAATGAATGATTTAGGACCAAAGTGAAGAGAATATTTCTTAGAGGATTGAGAGTCTTGGCAAATCTTTTCCTCAGAAGACTGTGGATGCTCAGTCACTGACAATAGCCGTGATGGAGATCAATAAACCTTTGGGAATAATGGATAGCGTGGGAATGTTGAGACATCATATAGCATCAACAATGATCTTACCGAATGGATGATCAAAAAGTTGAAAGGGAAAGCCACCACAGTCTAACCAGACCGCAGGGCTGCTCTCTCATTGGAAAGAGACAAATCGTAATGGTTTAATCTGAGAGTCACCATGCTTCAGACAAGAGGAGAGGATGAGAAATAAGGTCCTTCATAGTTAACCCAGCTGGTGTGGGAGTTCAAGTCTTACTGTTGTTTGTCACTCTGCATTACTAGTGATCCATCCAGCCAACGGAGTTAAGAAACCCTTAGTGGATTTAAAATTGATTCAGAGATAGTAGGAACTGCAGATGCTGGAGAATCTGAGATAACAAGGTGTAGAGCTGGATGAACACAGCAGGCCAAGCAGCATCAGAGGAGCAGTAAGACTGACGTTTCGGGCCCAGACCCTTCTTCAGAAATGGGGGAGGGGAAGGGGGTTCTGAAATAAATAGGGAGAGAGGGGGAGGCGGATAGAAGATGGATAGAGGAGAAGATCGGTGGAGAGGAAACAGACAGGTCAAAGAGGCAGGGATGGACCCAGTAAAGGTGAGTGTAGGTGGGGAGGTAGGGAGGAGATAGGTCAGTCCAGGGAGGATGGACAGGTCAAGGGGGCGGGATGAGGTTAGTAAGTAGGAGATGGGGGTGGGGCTTGAGGTGGAAGGAGGGGATAGGTGGGAGGAAGGACAGGTTAGGGAGACGGGGACAAGCTGGGCTGGTTTTGGGATGCGGTAGGGGGACGGGAGATTTTGAAGCTTGTGAAGTCCACATTGATACCATTGGCCTGCAGGGTTCCCAAGCGAAATATGAGGTGCTGTTCCTGCAACCTTCGGGTGGCATTGTTGTAGCACTGCAGGAGGCCCAGGATGGACACGTTGTCTGCGGAATGGGAGGGGGAGTTGAAATGGTTCGTGACTGGGAGGTGCAGTTGTTTAGTGCAAACCGAGTGTAGGTGTTCCGCAAAGCAGTCCCTAAGCCTCCACTCGGTTTCCCCGATGTAAAGGAGGCCACAACGGGAACAGCGGTTACAGTATACCACATTGAAAAATGAGGACATCTGAGATGTTCGGGAGTGGAATGCCTCATCCTGGACGTCCAGTCCCTATACACCTGCACATATACACCTGATGAGGCATTCCACTCCCGAACATCTCAGATGTCCTCGTTTCTCAAGGACCGCAACTTCCCCCCCTCAGTGGTCAAGAACGCCCTCGACCGTGTCTTCCGCATTTCCCGCACCTCATCCCTCACACCCCCTCCCCGCAATAACAACCGAAACAGAATCCCCCTCGTCCTCATGTACCACTCCACCAACCTCCGGATCCAACGCGTCATCCTCTGACACTTCCACCATCTGCAATCCAACCCCACCACCAAAGACATTTTTCCCTCCTCATCCTTATCTGCTTTCTGGAGAGACCACTCTCTCCAGGACTCCCTTGTCCGCTCCACACTCCCCTCCAGCCCCACCACACCCGGCACTTTTCCCTGCAACCACAGGAAGTGCTACACCTGCCTCTACACCTTCCCCCTCACCCCCATCCCAGGCCCCAAGAAGACTTTCCACATCTGCTAATGTGGTATACTGTATCCGCTGTTCCTGTTGTGGCCTCCTCTACATCGGGGAAACTAAGCGGAGGCTTGGGGACCGCTTTGTGGAACACCAACGCTCGGTTCGCACTAAACAACTGCACCTCCCAGTCGCGAACCATTTCAACTCCCCCTCCCTTTCCTCAGATGACATGTCCATCCTGGGCCTCCTGCAGTGCCACAACGATGCCACCTGAAGGTTGCAGGAACAGCACCTCATATTCCGCTTGGGAACCCTGCAGCCCAACGGTATCAATGTGGACTTCACAAGTTTCAAAATCGCCCCTCCCCCTACCGCATCCCAAAACCAGCCCAGCTCGTCGCCGCCTCCCTAACCTGTCCTTCCTCCCACCTATGCCCTCCTTCCACCTCAAGCCTCACCCCCATCTCCTACCTACTAGCCTCATCCCGCCCCCTTGACCTGTCAGTCCTCCCTGGACTGACCTATCCCCTCCCTAACTCCCCACCTACACTCACCTTTACTGGCTCCATCCCCACCTCTTTGACCTGTCTGTCTCCTCTCCACCTATCTTCTCCTCTATCCATCTTCTATCCGCCTCCCCCTCTCTCCCTATTTATTTCAGAACCCCCTTCCCCTTCCCCATTTCTGAAGAAGGGTCTGGGCCCGAAACGTCAGCCTTCCTGCTCCTCTGATGCTGCTTGTCCCGCTGTGTTCATCCAGCTCTACACCTTGTTAACTCTTAGTAGGGTGGCTAGGTTCAAAGGGAAGCAGCGCGTACTCCTAGAATCCCTGCAGTGTGGAAGCAGACAATTTGGCCCATTGTGTCTACATCGACCCTCTGAAGAGCGTCCTCCCCAGATCCTTCCCTCCATTTCCCATGGCTAATTCACCTAATCTACACATCCCTGGACAACTGGGGCAATTTAGCATGGCCAATCCACCCAGCCTGCACCTCTTTGGACTGTGGGATGAAACTGGAGCACCTGGAGAAAACCCACACAGGCACAGGGAGAACATGCTAACCCCACTCAGACAGACTCCTGAGGGTAGTCTGCAGTGCTGTGAGGATGCAGTGCTAACCACTGAGCCACTGTGCCACTCCTGCACCTTTAATGTCAAGTTTTTTTTCAAAATACATTATCTATTAGGGTAGCATTGTCAGTCAGAGTGAGACCAGAAGTTCCATTAATCAGAGTGAGAAATAAACATTAGGACTGAAGAAAATTGAAGTTGGCTGACCTGGGTTAAGTAGGCAGGTGTCAATGATGCTGCTGGGAGAGGAGGACTCGGCAGGGCCAGAGGGCTTGGGTCACTGCTGGTAATAACCAAGGCCGGAGTCAGTTCTAGCCCCTTTGGCTTCTTTGACCGACCCTTCTGATGCCTGGTTTCCGGGTTGTCCAACGACGGATCTTCCCCATCCGAGGAGAGTTCCAGAGGCTGTGTCAGGTCATCCGAGGGGCTGGTGGCCAGCTCAGTCTCCACGGCCAAACCAGCGGCTGGATCCAGCGAGGGCTCTAAAATGGGTGAGCCAGGGCTCAAGGGCAGAGGCGTGGGAGGCGAGATGGAGGATGGAGTCGAGGCGAAGGACGTAACGATGTTTGGCACGGTCAGAGACTCCTCCGATGACGCCGGGTTCGGTGGGCTCACCGCGACCGAGGGCACCACTGCCGGTTCTACCACAGAGACCGGCGTCTCCCTTTTCGGTGGGTTGGTAACAAATTTAATGACTGTGACAGGCTCCTGAGGAGGTGGCTTCTTTTTCTTCTTCTCTTCTGGCAGCTTCTCCGCGGGGTTCTCGATTTTAATGGACTTGAAGATGTTGGGATTGGTTTGTAGTGAGTTCAAAGTGAAGGACGAGTAGAGCCCTGAACGGATGTAATCATTGCGGCTTGAGATCTTGGAGGAGGAGGTTGCTTTCTCCTGGCTATGGTTCTCCTTGTCCTTTTGTGGCCGACTCATATCAGGCAAAGCTGTGTCCATTCCTTTCTCAGGCCTGCCCACCATGTTAAAGTCCATGTTCAATATCTCCGGATAGCACACAAACTTATAGACAAATTTCTGTCCATTCACTTTTTTAATAATGTTCTGCAGAATAAACAAAAAGATCAGAATGAAGTAAATAACTCTAAAATGCTGACTCTCCCACAAAGATGACTCCTTTTCTGTGGAATTACAGCTCGATTCAGAGTCAACATAGAATCCCCATTGTGTAGAAGTGGGCTATTTCGGTCCATCAATTCTACTCTGATCCTCTGAACAGCATCCCACCTGAACCTATCCCCCTATCCTAACCCTGTAACCCTGCCTTTCCCATGGCTGACCCACCTAGCCTGCATATCCCTGGATACTATGGGCAATTTAGCATGGCCAATCCACCCTAACCTACATACCTTTGGACTATATGAGGAGACCAGAGCACCTGGAGGAAACCCATGGAGACACAGGGAGAATATGCAAACTCCAGAGAACATTTTCATTTTCAAATTTATCCTTTTATGAACTATGGGCATCACTGGCAAGACCAGAGTTAGTAAGAACTGCTGATGCTGGAGTCAGAGATAACACAGTGTGGAGCTGAAGGAACACAGCAGGCCAGGCAGCATCAGAGGAACAGAGAAGACCAGCTTTTGTCACTTATCCCTGATTGCCCTTGAACTGAGTAGCTCTCTCGGTCATTTCAGAGCAGCTTAATAGCCAGCTATATTACTGCAGGTTCTGGAGTAACATTTAGGTCAGACCAGGTAAAGATGGCAGATTTCCCTCCCTACAGTATATTATGAATTGGCAGTAGTTACACAGTCTATTGAGACTAGCTTCAATTTAACATAAAGTTCACAAACTGCCACATTAGGATTTGAGCCCAAGCTTCCACTGCAATAGTTTTTAGCCCTTTATCAAGTCAAAGATATATAGGCATTGGAGGCCATCCAGAGAAGGTTCACCAGGCTAGTCCCAGGTGCGGAGGGACTGTCTTAACAGAGTAGATTGAGCCTGTGTTCATTGGGGTTTATAGAATAAGAGACAACAGTATCAAAACCTGCAAGATTCTTAGGGGACTTGACAGGGTAGATGTGGAAAGGTTTATTCTCCTGTGGAGAGACTTGGATCGAAGGACATGATCTCAGAGTAAAGGGTGACAGATTTAAGATGAGATGTAGGAGAATTTCTTTTTTCAGACGACAGTGAATCTTTGGAATTCTTTACCACAGAGGACTGTCAAGTCTGGGTCGTTAAGTATATTCAAGGCTGAGGATAGGCAGATTTTTAATCGGGGTTACGAAGAAAACGCAGGACAATGAGTTGAGGATTATCAGATCAGCCATCATCTCATTGAATGGTGGAGCAGATTCAATGGGTTGAATTGTCTTCTTCTGCTCCTATGTTTTATGGTATTAATAGCCTTGGCCTTTAGAATAATTGAATCCCTATAGTGTGGAAGTAGGCCATTCTGGCCATCGTGTCCACACTGACCCTCTGAAAAGCATCCCACCCAGACCCACCACCTCATGCTATCCTTGCAACCCTGCCTTTCCCATGGCTAACCCACCTAGCCTGCACATCCCTAGACACTATGGGCAATTTAGCATGGCCAATCCACCCAACCTGCACATCTTTGGACTGTGGGAGGAAACCCAGACAGACACAGGGAGAATGTATAAACTCCATAAAGCTAGTCACCTGAGGTTGGAATTGAACCCGGGTCCCTGGTGCTGTGATTGAGTAATACTACCTACTGAGCCACTGTGTCACCCTTAGCCCAGCAATGTTACCATGATGCTAACACTTGTATTTATGTAAGGGTGGCATTCACATCAATGATTCCAGTGATGTAAAAATTAGGGACATGGGAGCAGGAGGCCATTCTACACTGAGTTTATAGTCTCATGCACAAAAATCATGGCTCCATATGCATGTATACATTTAGCTGTAGCAAAATTCTAACTGGTCTGAAGGTGAAAATTATCAAGCAACCTGGCACCCGTAATTTGTCTTGGGCTACCCTTAGACTATTTTACCAGTTCTATCATCCCCTGTAAACAAAGAAAAAATGCTGCCTAACTCCTCCCTGAAATAAAGAACAGAGTGTGTTGGAGAAACTCAGCAGGTCTGGCGACATCTGTGGAGAGAGAAACAGAGTTAACATTTCAGGTCTGGAATGACTCTTCTTGTTCATTCATGAGACAGATGTCACTGATCAGGTTGACATTTATTGCCCATCCCTAATTACCCAAAGGGCAGTTAAAAGTGAAACCACATTGCTGTGGCCTGGAGTCACGTGTAGGCCAGAACAGGTAGGGATGGCAGCTTCCTTCCCTAAAGGACAATAGTGACCCAGTTGGGTTTTTACAACAATCAACAGTGGATCAATGGTCATCATTAGACTTTTGATTCCTTATTAAATTCAAATTCCACCATTTGCCATCTTCTGAAGAAGAAAATCTTATTGGGAGACTTCATCTTTTGCAGATGTGTCACACTTGGAAAACCAGAAAATACCCAGCAAAGTTATTTTTGGGAGTGGTGGTGGGGGCACAGAGCTGATATTTCCTCATCAGACAGCTACCTTCCTGGATTTCACAAGTTTCAAAATCTCCCCTCCCCCCACCGCATCCCAAAACCAGTCCAACTCGTCCCTGCCTCCCTAACCTGTTCTTCCTCCCACCTATCCCCTCCTCCCACCCCAAGCCGCACCTCCATCTCCTACCGACCAACCTCATCCCGCCCCCTTGACCTGTCCGTCCTCCCTGGACTGACCTATCCCCTTCCTAACTCCCTACCTACACTCACCTTTCCTGGCCCCATCCCCGCCTCTTCGACCTGTTTGTTTCCTCTCCACCTATCCTCTCCTCTATCCCTCTTCTATCCGCCTCCCACTCTCTCCCTACTTATTTCAAAACCCCCTTCCCCACCCCCTTTTCTGATGAAGGGTCTGGGCCCAAAACGTCAGCCTCTCTGCTCCTATGATGCTGCTTGGCCTGCTGTGTTCATCCAGCCCTGCACCTTACCTTCCTGTTGTCTGGTTTCCCGACTGCCGTGAGGGGAGTTCAATTCCAGCCCCCAGGAATCCTGGTGCGAGGAGAGTGATCTGTCTCAGAAGACAGCTAGTCAACCATTGGCCACAGCAACTCTCCAGTTTCAGAGGTCCTTACATTCCTACTGGCCTCTGTCAGATATAGACTGCACAGGCAAGGAAGGACAGACACACAGCCAGGCCTCAGCCTAACCCCCATCCTATTCCTGGAGCTCTGTGCATGCATACATTCAAGGCTGCGAATGTTAGACATGAAGAGAATCCAACGATATAGATTTGAGGCAAAAAAACAGTTGACATAGGCCAACTATGCTGATAGTAGAGTGGGCTAGAGGGGCCAAATGGCCTTCCCCAACTTAGAATCCCTAGCATGCAGATAGAGACCACTCAGTCCATCAAGCCTGCACTGACCCTCCAAACAGCAAACCATCTAAACCCACCCTAATATCCCTGCATTTCCCATGGCTAGTCCACCTAGCCTACACATCTTTGGACTGTGGGAGGAAACCAGATCACCTGGAGGAAACCCATGCAGACACAGAGAGAACGTGCAAACTCCACACAGACAGGTACCCGAGGGTGGAATTGAACCCGGGTCCTTAGCCCTGTAAGGCAGCAATGCTAACCGCTGAGCTACCAATTGATCTGAGTTCTCATGTGATTTGAAAAAGGGTGACCTGCTTTGCCCCAGACCATTTTGTCCAAACGTGGAAATCATAGCCTGTACCTTGTCATAATAATATCGCAGAGCTCTACTCAGCTTATCATAATTCATGTTGGGTTTGTTTTTGCGAAATCCCCACAGTTTGGCTACGTCCTCAGCCTTGAGCAGTTTGAACTCGCCATCATTCGATGTCCAGCAGATTAGGTGGTCATTCTTAGGTTCCAGGAGAAGTTGCAGCAGGAACTGCCAAAGTGTGATGGTGCTGTCCATGGTTGGTGCTGCCACCTGTGGGTCAGGAAGGAAAACTGGTTAAAGAGCTGACCCCGAGAGATACCAGAGGACGCAACTTTATGGTAAGGAGCAGGAGGTTTAGAGAGGATTTGAGGAAAAGTCTTTTCACCCAGATGTTATTTGGAACTCACTGCCTAAAAGGATGGTAGAGACAGGAACTCTTAAGATATTTAAGAGCTATTTAGATGAACACTCGAAATATTGTAATGTCCTGGGCTCTGGGTCAAGTGTTGGAAAATGGGATTAGAATAGATGATATTTGATGACCGTCACAGTCATGATGGGCTGAAGGGCCTTTATCTATGCTGTAAAATCTCTGTGACTCTAAAGGAGAGGAACAGGGTGCATGACAAAGAAATAGAAAGAAGGTCAAATAAACCGTAACTAGAATGAGAGAGCAGAGGGGCCAGTAAATAAGGACTTGCAAGATTTTTTTAGAAAACAGTGGAAATCAAAGGTAAAAATAGAAATCCCTGAGGATAAACAACAACAGGGAAATGGAAAGACAAGTTGACATGTCATATGGGATTTTTGCTGACTTTCGATTGACTGAAGGTGGCTGCAATGTTGTCATTCAATCTCTAGATGGCATTCAGTCATAATTCACAGACTGATAGAATGCTGGAGCTCTGAAGGAGGCCATTCAGCCTTTCAGACTTGTGCTAGCTGTTTGAAACAACTATTCAATCTGCTGTTTCTCCATAGCCCTGTATTTATTCCCATTTATATATCACTCCCAAATTCTCTCTTAAAAATTTATTATTAATTCTGCTTCCACCAGCCTCAGGAAGGCTTGAAAACAATTAGTCCTTGTGTCGCTCCAATTCTTCTGCCTATCATCTAAAAATCTATGCCATTTGGTTACTGACTGTTCAGAGACTGGAAATAGTTTATCAGCATTTACTTTAGCAGAACCATTCACGTTTTTGAACACCCCCGTGAAATCTCCTCAAAAAAACCTTCTCTGATCTAAGGAGAACAATCCCAGCTCCTCCCATCTCTTACCTTAATTCAGACCACCCAAGTCATTGCTCACTGAGAGTCACAGGTCAGGGATGTTTGAGAATGGTTCAGTGATGCATTAAAGGCATATTTGCCTGATATTATACAGCCAAGCAAAGGAAATGACAGAAAGCTTGTCTTGTCGATATGAATGAAGTTAGCAATAGTTCAACATGAGTCTTTCACATATTCGTGAACTATACATAAATAGAAACATAGAATTTTACAGTATGGATGAGGCCATTCTAGCCAATACCTCTAAGTCTGCTCTTTCCCTGTAAATTTGCAGTTTCTCCTTTTCAACCATAAGTTAAACTCTCTTTCAAAAATTATTGTTGAATCTTCTTCAGCCAGTCTTTCAGACATCATGTTCCAAATCATAAAAACCTACTACGTTCAGAAGATTCATCTCATCTCATATAAAAATAGAATACTGTGGATGCTAGAAATTTGAATTATTGCACATCTCCTGCCTGTTTATGGTGTATATTATTACACTGAAGGTGGACAGAGTCAATGTTTTCTCCTCTGTTTGTTGGTCTCTTCACCTGCAAACAATATATCTCAGAAATTAAGGGGCATGTTTCAATAAGACTTGGTACACAGATATTGTTCAGAATGACGATGTGAAGTTCACATCTTTTTACGCTATGTCTTGGACTGTGGGCTTAAAAAAGAAACTGCTTTAGACCAAGGAGACTAGACAAAAAAAGGAATGGCAAGTTTTAAAAATCATGCTTGTTGAAGCATATTTTGAGTTGAGCACAGTGTTAATTTCCTCTAGAATGTTGAGACCAAAACTGGACAGCATGGGGCAATGAGATCTGAAGTAGGGGGTCAATTGCTTGATAATATTTTCATTAGCTTCTGACCAGGTGACCACAGCTTGTGTGTGGCCAGTGCAGCCCCTGCAGCTTTTTCAATCAGATTAGGACTAATTTTTGCCACTTCTCCTTTTATCCACCATTGATCTATATCCATCAATAACCCTATCCAACAACAATCTCAGTCCTGAATCTCTCAGTTGCCCCCCAGCGTTTATTGCCATTTAGTGAACGTGAATTCTGGATTTATACTTCGTGTGAAACTGAGTCCCAGATTTTACTCCTAGATGGGTGACTTCTAACATTAAATTTAAATCTCAACATCTCCAAAGGACTCAGTTCCTCTATTAGTATCTAGTGAATGAAATTCCTTTATCACAACTTTAGTTAGTTCATTTCTCAACTTTCCAATCTCACAATAATGCAAGCCTCAGTTATATGTCCTGTACTTTAAGCTTTGATGGTGAATTTGCACTGAATGCCCATCAATGAAGCCTATGTTTGAGTAACTCGCGTAAGGCTATAAGACAATGGCCATTTGGGTGATGTAGTGGTAACAGTAGTAGACTAGTAATCCAGAGCTCCCAGGTTAATGAGTCATAGAATCATAGAGCTGTACAGCATGGAAACAGACCCTTTGATCCAACTTGTCCATACTGACCAGATATCCTAAATTAATCTAGACCCATTTACCAGCATTTGGCCCATATCCTATTCATATACCCATCCAGATGCCTTTTAAATGTTGTAATTGTACCAGCCTCCACCACTTCCTCTGGCAGTTCATTCCATACACACACCACCTTCTACGTGAAAAAGTTGTCCCTTGGGTCCCTTTTAAATTTTCCCCCTCTCACCTTAAATCTCTAGTTTTATATGGGTTCAAATTCCACCACAGCACCTGGTAGAATAGTAATTAATTGAAACATATTAAAACTTTAGTCTCAG